TATTCATATTCACATCTATAATTATATACTTCAATAATATATACATCTATAAATTGACTGTTGACTGACTACCTAACTAACTATTTGAATATACTTATTTAGTTATAGCTCTGTCTGTCTGTCTGCATTATTCTAAGCACAGTTTAGTGACGTAATTCAACTGTCGCGACGTCATCATCTAAGACAAAGAAAAACAAATGTCAGTTATGTACGTAGGTCATTAAATTATTGCTGAAATGTGTTAATCATTTTTATTACCTTTGGTTTAGTAGTTCATCACTGTTGTCTTCTTTACACTGATGTGCTTCCTGTGTGGACAAAGAAACGAATGCTAAAACAAAGCGAAATAAGAAGTGGATGGGTGAATTAAAAAAGCGAACGATTGAATAAATGAATGAAAAATGAATAAAAGAACGAATGGGTGCGACGGAGAGAAAAAAAGAAGAAAGAAATGGAGTTATCTTCTCTCCCTCAAAAATAAAACGTATTTCCAAATGCATGTGTTAACAAAAGTGTTTCAGTACTTACCAACTTTCCACAGCCATTAACGTCTGCTACAGCCTCGATGACCATCACATCATTCTACTCCACTTTGGTACATTATCAATACATTCTACAGCTTACTCGTAAATCGAAATTAATTACCGAATCGATATAACTATGTCTAACTAGCTAAACAAACTCGCCTCTTGTCTCCACTAGTAGCCATAGCAACCCATCAAAGCTAAGATATCTTGAATATTTCAATATTTCTTAACTGCATACAAAATTCTGACATCAAAATATTTGAACATCAGAATTATCACAAAAGCCTATAGATTCTAGATTCTTTAGACTCTTGTAAAGAGGTAACTGATTATGATAGAATCTTTTAGTATGCTTGGTTATATCTATGTAGTGCTTTTCTTACCATCATCTTCTTTTGAGCAATTCTCTTTCGGTGTAAAATTACCGCAGCCAGGCTTTCCAGTTCGCTTATGTTATATGAAGATGAAAAAATATATATATTTTTTAAATTTTCCATCATTATTAACCAAAGTAAATTAAACACATAAGATTTTTCTAAAGAACAAAAGCGTTATTTTTTCATCAGCAAAGACTTCGTTTTATGCAGAAAGTAACTGCACCTTATCCCTTATCCTATATTAATATGATGAATAAAACAGATGTTGGTTTCATGTAAGGCGGTTCCAGCCTTTTGTGAAGCTGATCGTGTTCTTTACRCTCAGTGGAATGAAATTAATTAGAAACCCTCCTTTGTAAAGCCTATTGCGCTAGCTTTTTCTGCGCG